TAAGAAATATATAAACAAAAAAATTATCAAGAAAATGAAAGAAAAAAAGATAAATATGATTCTTGGCAAAAAAAAAAAAGTGGCATATCACTTTTCTTTTAGATAATTTATATATTTGTAAAGAACGTAAATAGAGAGACAAACAGTTTTACTAAATGATTTTTATCCTAAACAAATACTTTTACATTTTGAGTTCGAATCCAACAAATCATAATAGTGATCTCTAAACATCTCAAAACTTGAAAATTTCTAACAATAATAATAATAAAAATTAAAATATGAAGATTGCAAAGTTACATATTAATAATCAATTTTTCTATGAATTAAACTGTAACTTGAAAATTACAAATCAACTTTACATTCTCATGTTCTATCATTATAATTAATAAAAATTGATCCACATAACTACAAAATTATCTACATACTTTCTTGAGTAGCATACATGTATATGTTAACTCCCTTTTCTACCTTAACTTGAAAATACGATAAGTTAACTTTACAACAACACAACAACAACAACAACAACAAATACATAAAAATAAAGTTAACTAATCAAGTAAAAACTTTAAAGAATATTCAATTATGAGCATGAAGAGGAAAGAAGGACCATGTTCTCAACATAACATAATCCAATTCTCCAAAACCTACAAAGAGAAGAAGAGAGTAAAAATAATCAGATTCTTTGGAAACTACAAAAATAAGTATATAAAAAAAAATCTTAAGAAACCACAAAGAGAAGCAAAAGAGAAAAAAATCACATTATTTTCTAAAAAAATAAATCATGATTTGTATCATCTACAATTCAAAAAAATAAATATTAAATATATAATTACAATAAAAAAAGTGATAATTATAAGTATTAGACATGTCAAACCAAACTATGCAAGGATGTCTAACATTAATATTCTCTAGAAACGACAAAGAGGAAAAAAACAAATTATTTTTTCCCAAAATTAAAAAACCTCATGATTCGTATAATCAAGAATAAAAAAATTAAATATATATTTACAATAGAAAAAAGTGATAATTATACTACGTATGTCCAAACATTTTACCTCATAAAATCCAACTGTGTAAAACATTCTTCATTATACATATCTCTCCTGCAAAATAAGATCAAAGAAGACAAAAAATGACCAACCAAAGAAACACAAGATGAAGAATAAGAAAATGAAAATAAAATAATCATCATACATATCTCAAGATAAGTTTTTATAAGTGTCATTTTAAGGAGTTATAAATTTGTATATTAAATAATATGAAGGTTATGAACATGAAAGGTTACGAGTTGTAGATATTACTAAATTAATTAAGATTTAAATTTATGAAATTGAAGAGGTGTGAATTTAGAAGATGATTTTATGAAATAAAATAATTGAGAAAAATTAGAAAAAATGTCAAAAAAACCACAAAAAAGATAAATAAGATCTTGGGCATTGAGAGGTGCCACATCACTTCTTTTTTATCTAACTTTATATATATATATATATATATGATTGGACAATTTTGATTTTTTAAAGTTAATATATTTAATCAGTTCATTAGCTTTGACGAGAATTAAGGGGGGAAATAAAGAAGGAAGATAGAGGAAATTCAAATTTAGAGGTATATTGTGGTAACCAGACAAGTCATTGAAATCACGAAATTCAATGACTTTTCTTAGGACCCGGCCATAGATTTCTCAAGTAAAATTTAGGGGAAAATTTGGCAAATAATGTTTATCCATATAATTTGTCATTATTTGACAAATATTTTTGGCAAATAACTCAAATTCTCAAATACTAAAAAAACTAGTATTTGGGTCAAATCTCATTATTTGGGATCTTTTAAAAATTAAACTCTACACCAAATTTTTATCTTTTACAGAAACACCCTCTATAATAGTTGTTTGCGTTGTATTACATAATTTTTTACGTAAACACCAAAGTAGTGATAGAATATTTAGTGAATATGAAAGTGATGATATGTTTATTGATGAAAATGATGAACAATCGGCTCAGGGTAACAAAGTCATTTGCTTTGTCTACTTCACAATGTATAGGACGATGCTTGTTGTACTCATTCTGAACTACCATATTGCTCTAGTGTCATGGACACTACTTGTTATTTGTTGCAACGAAGATCCAATTGACTTGTAATACAAACCTATGGTTAGTTTTGGTAGTTTTTAAAAACTTATGGGTATAAATCATATTTCCTAAAAAAGTGAAATATGTTTCCCAAATACTATGGCCAAACACATGGTGAAATTTCACCCAAATTTTAACCCAAATAATATTTGCCAAAAATATTTGGAAATCTATGGCCAAACGCTAACTTAGTAAATTCTCAAAGTTGAGTAATCTTTTGAGATATTACCTCAATTTTATTCACCACTCAAAAGAGAGAAATTTTATTGTGAAGGAAGGTCGTGTGTTCTAATGATGGGTTATATAAACTCTTCACCTTATTCGGAGTTGTTTGAGTCACATGATATTATTCAGTTGTTGTATCTGAATAGAATGGGTCCAGAGTAATATATATTGCTACACCAAAAAGGATCTTTAGTGGCAATAAATTAATTGCCGTTAAATATGTATTTTTACTTTTTAGCGTCAATTAGCTAGTATTCTTTGTAAATGTCCATAATATCTATAGTGACACTAAATCTAATGACAATTATCTAATGCTGATAAAAATTTTACCACTCTCTGTTAATATATATATTTATTGCCGCTAAAAATTATTTTTGTTATAATATAAATCGGTTAAATTAGACTTAAATCTCCTTAAAGAAAACAAGATTTGTATGCCTTATTTATTTATTTTTATCATTTTATTTTCCAACTACAATTTACTATAATATATGGTATATTCACCGACACACGGATATGATTAATAACTTCAGCAAAAGACACATCCTCTTTGCACCTTACCTGCCATTTACCATCGGAAGGCAGAAATATTCTAAAATTATTCAATAAAAACAAATATAGGAGTTTATAGAAAGGCGGGGACAGATTCAGTATTTTTAATACAGAAAAGGGTAAATTATTCTTAAACTATGCGAAATAAAAAAAAGGGAGACGCAAAAGTTAGGTATTCCCTTTTGTGGTAATTGACCAAATTAATGAAACCTTAAATAAGCTAATTGACAAACATTGTAAAAGAAATTCAAGCATCAATTCACATTGCAACACTATTTGTGGAAAAGACAGATTACAATCGTTCAGATTATTTGTTTAATATATGTAGGTTAGAGTGTCTACTTAAGCTGAATTCGATAATGTTGTAATTCGCGGTCTCTTAACAATACTTAGGACATGAAACAAATTGTTCTTATATATATCAAAGGGAAAAGGGTTAAAAATACCCCTCAACTTTGTTTTATTGTTTGACTATACCCTTACCGTTAAAACGAAGTTATTTTTGCCCCTGCCGTCTACAAACTCATCACATTTACCCCTCAATTGGATGGAAACCCCCAAATCAACAAAAATAACCCGATTTACTTAAATTAACCAATTTTAACCCGACTCGACCCATCAAATGATACAACCCACCTATGTTCATCTTCATTTTTAACCTAATTTATCTGTCTCCCTATTTCCTACTTCCTACTGTTCATCTTCATCACTTCCTTGAGCTTCAAATCAAACATTCTTCTTTGCCTTCTTTTCCATCTTTTCCGCAGCTCACGTCTCGGGCATCATTATGCCATTACAGGCATCTCTTCAATACCCCATTCTCTTCCTTAGAACCTGCCCTAAATCTGATACTTCCAGCAAAGTTAAATTCGAAATCTCATTAACTATCGCTGATACTCTCCCTGATGGAGCCAACTTTGATTCGTGAGCTGATGTTGTGAAATTTGAACTAATTAACGGTTTAGTAAAGCTGTAGAAATGGGTTTCAGAATTTTTTTGAATCTTGGACTGTGGAATTGTGAATGCACATAAGGTGTTAGATATGTGGAAATAGTTCTGGAACGGTGATACAGAGAATTAGAAATAAATCGATTGAAACATCTCATGATTATGACATAAAAGCTTCTGACTGAATTGCTTGGGCTTTGTAATGGTGCCGGAACAGTGATTACGGCGACGATGGGTTTAATCGTCTGGGAAGTAGGAAGGTTGGGGAAGTTGAGGTTTTAGGCTTACTTACTTGTATTTACTTAATCCCATTAGGTTATGAAAATGTTATTCATGTCTTTGAAAATGTATTTTCCTCCATTGTTTTTTGCCTTGATCTCAAGATGAAGATGAACAAAGCGGGTCATCTATTAGATGGATCGGAATCGGGTTAAAATTGGTTAATTTAAGTAAATCGGGTTATTTTTGTTGATTTGGGGGTTTCCATCCAATTGAGGGGTAAATGTGATGAGTTTGTAGACGGCAGGGGCAAAAATAACTTCGTTTTAACGGTAAGGGTATAGTCAAACAATAAAACAAAGTTGAGGGGTATTTTTGACCCTTTTCCCTAAAAAAAATAACTTCACTTATAATTTGATTTAAAAATACCTTTGCCGTTAATAATTTTGTTCAAAAATACCTTTATTATTTGACTTACTTTCCTTTTTAAGCCGATTGAAAAAAAAGTGACTCATTTCCTTTTTAGGAACATGGTAATTCCTATTTTGCACGTGACATGTTTAATATCACAAGATTAAAAATATTTTGATACATTTGACTTATCTTTAATTTAAGACCACGAGATTCAATTCATTATTTTTTAAACCTCCGTGTCAAGTCAAAATAGGACAAACAAATTAAAAATCGGAGAGAGCAGAAATGTAAAATAAAAAATTAAGGAATTTTCGTGTTTTTGTTTTTGCCTCCTAAAAGGAGGACCAAACAGACTATTACACTCTGTAGGTTCAGAATTTTTAGATTCTTTAACATTGAATTATTTAAAAAAAATACAAGTTCATGTATGTATACTATTTATGAGTACAATTTTAATAATTTTTTACTCATAAGTTTATGTAGTGGGTCGAAAATTATGAGTGAAATTGAATCTTCTGAACTCAAACCACATGTTCAATAATAGCAATCACTTTTTAACTTTCGAAAGAAAAAATGTCTACAACAATCTCGTAGCCCATTAGTACTTAGTAAGGCACTGGAAGAGCCGGTGGCAATGCTCCATGAGTTGCTTTTGACATTGTCTGGAATTTGCAGTACTCAACTGATAACAATCGGCTTTCTTCAACACTGATTGTGTTTATTAGTTGTAGTAGAATGTGCTCGAATTCTTCCCCATCTGCCCACTCGTGGACAGTTGCTTTTACTAGTGTCCTGTTTTTATTTATCAAATTCCAGGCTGGGAAATCTTTTCTTGGCATCACAAAATCTGCTTCCATGAGCTTCAAACTGGGACAGAAATCCCCGATTCCATCACCTAGATAGATCATTCTTTTCTTCCCTTCTTTAGTCATGCTGGCTTGAATTCTTTCTACTATCATACCCTGCATTAAACAGAATCTCAATTAGGAAAACTAATTTCATATTAAATCTAAATTAAAGGATTTAGTATTTAGCTACCTTGCACATGTTGGGAGGGCAGAGATTGCAGCCATGAGGGGATGTTATAAAATCAACATAAGGGAGGATTCGAAGCCTGCCTTCTTCATCGACGTAGCCTGGATTGGTGTTGATCTCAGAGAAACAATCCCTAATTCCGACATGTTTCAAGATAGTTTCAATGAAGAATACATTTGCATCGCTTGTTACTCTCAAATCACACCTGAATATATTAACACACATTCAATTAGTTTAAACCTCACAATTTTATTTTTAAAAAAACAGAGTAAATACATAGCTGAAATTATGAGATACATACCCTAATGCATAAACTGATTTAATAGCTGGAACAATCCTAGGGTGTATGGGAACCCGTTTCAGTACCTCTTCAATGTCTTGTATTGCTATGCCTTGTGTATGAAGTTCGTTCATTATTCTATCCTGTAATTTGAAACGCAACAGAAATTATAAGCCCATTGCGCAAAGCTTGAGAGACGAGCATAAAAGTATAGTAAGAAAAAAAAAGGTTACCATGAGAGAGTTCCATGGCATAGTGGGAAGAAGCTGATTGAACAAATCAGTGGCGCCTAACTCATCCACCACCCAATTATCACTATCCACATCGATAATCGTCTTGTCAAAGTCGAAAACCACTACAATTCCAGCCATTCTTTTTTGAGTAACTTCTCAGAGACGAAAGAAGAGATGAATATAGAAGACCTCTGGTTGTTGTATAACACCAAACATATGAAGAGGGAGCTTTATAGGGAAGGGAAACAAAGGGAATTAGGTACAAAAAATAAGATGCTAAGGGAATATTACATAAGTTAACGCAGGGAATTTCTATACTCACTTGGTTTTCTTCTTTCAACATACTCAACTAATTTTCGATATTAGCCGTTAGATTTTGATCCTACAGTGGATAAATATTTTTGGTTTATGGTATAAATTACTTTTCATTTATTAGTTGGGAGGATTTATGGAAATTCGAAGGAATATGACGGAATATTCCATGCAGGGAATGCAATTCTCCATAAATTAGGATTGAACTAAATCCTTGTACGAATTACATAGGAGAATAAATCTAGATTTATGTGATGTAATATAGGAATTCCATATTTATTTGTTTTTACCGCGTTCTTTATATTTTAATTATTCCTTCTACCTTTGGGCTCTGTCTCATATTATTTGTTCATTATTTTCTGTTTAACTGCCACTTAAAAATCATAAATATAAAATACTTAATATTTTTATTTTTTTGGTATAAAATCAAACAGGCGTAAAAATATTTACGGTTACAGAAGCAAGAAGTCTTCCATATAATCAATAGGTAGAAGGGTGTAGAATGATTGGTAGTAATCAGTGGTGGAGCCAAAAAATTTAATAAGGGATTCAAAATCTGAAAAGTAAACACACGAACTAGTGGAAGGGAGTTCGACATCTCTTATGCATACCTAAAAAATAATTTTAACCATGTATAAATAGTAATATTTTCCGCCGAAGAGGGTTCGGATGATACCCCCTAAGTATATGTTGCCTCTGCTCCTGGTAGTAATGTGGGTAGATAAATGTGATAGATGTTACATAAGTTATAAAAAAACTAACGGTCATATGAGTTACAAGAAACTAACGGTCATAGAGTTACAAGAACCAATAATCGTCTTCTACCACAATTTATACCCACTAACCTATGCACTTAATATTACTTTAGTCATGCACCTAATTTTAGACTTAAATCTCCTTTAAAAAAATACGATTTGTATGCCTCAACCTGAATATTATTTATTTATTTTTATCATTTTATTTTTCAACTACAATTTACTATAATATATGGTATATTCATCGCCACGCGGATATGATCAATAACTTCAGCAAAAGACACATCCTCTTTGCACCTTACCTACCAATTACCATCGGAAGGCAGAAATATTGTAAAATTATTCAATAAAACAAATATAGGACTTTATAGAAAGGTGGGAATAGATCCAGGATTTTTAATACAGAAAAGGTTAAAAAGTTTTAAACTATGCGAAATAAATAAAAATAACTTCACTTCTAATTTGGTTTAAAAATATCTTTGCCATTAATAATTTCGTCCAAAAATACCTCTATTATTTGACTTACTTTCTTTTTAAAGTCGTTTAAAAAAGAGTGACTCACTTCCTTTTTAGCAACTTGGTAATTTCTATTTTGCACGTGACATGTTTAATATCACAAGATTAAATGACTTATCTTTAATTTAAAATCACAAGATTCAATTCATTATATTTTTAAACTCCGTGTCCCAAACAAATTAGAAATCGAAGAGAGTAATAATGTTTTCATAATAAAAAATTAGGGAATTTTCATGGTTTTGCCTCCTAAAAACCTGACCAAACAGACTAGTACACTCTATAGGTTCAATTTTTTTAGATTCTTAACATTGAATATATCATATTTTAAAAGTTGTATACTACTATTTATGAGTACAATTTTAATAATTTTTTAATCATAAGTTTATGTGGTGCGTCGAAAATTATGAGTTAAATTGAATCTTCTGAACTCAAACGACATGTTCAAATATAGCAATCACTTTTTAACTTTTGATAAAAAAAAATGTCATACATACAAAACAGAGTACAATAATCTCGTAGCCCATTAGTAAGGCACTGGAAGAGCCAGTGGTAAGGCTTCTTTGGACATCGTCTGGAATTTGCAGTACTCCACTGATAACAATTGGTTTTCTTCAACAGTGATCGTGTTGATCAGTTGTAGCAGAATGTGCTCGAATTCTTCCCCATCAGTCCACTCGTGGACAGCTGCTTTTACTAGTGTCCTGTTTTCGTTTATCAAATTCCAGGCTGGGAAATCTTTTCTTGGCATCACAAAATCTGTTTCCATGAGCTTCAAACTGGGACAGAAATCCCCGATTCCATCGCCTAGATAGATCATTCTTTTCTTCCCTTCCTTAGCCAAGATGGCTTGAATTCTCTCTACTATCATACCCTGCATTAAACAGAATCTCAATCAGGAAAACTAATTTAGGAATTAGCTAATTTCACATTAAATCTAAATTAAAGGATTTAGTTACCTTGCACATGTTGGGAGGGCAGAGATTGCATCCATGAGGGGATGTTTGAAAATCAACATAAGGGAGGATTCGAAGCCTGCCTTCTTCATTGACGTAGCCTGGATTGGTGTTGATCTCAGAGAAACAATCCCTAATTCCGACATGTTTCAAGATAGTTTCAATGAAGAATACATTTGCATCGCTTATTACTCTCAAATCACACCTGAATATAATATTAACACACATTCAATTAGTTTAAACCTCGCAATTTTCAGAGTAAATACATAGCTGAAATTATGAGATACATACCCTAATGCATAAGCTGATTTAATAGCTGGAACAATCCTAGGGTGTATGGGAACCCGTTTCAGTACCTCTTCAATATCTTGTATTGTTATGACTTGTGTATGAAGTTCGTTCATCATTCTATCCTGTAATTTGGAACACAACAGAAATTATAAGCCCATTGCGCAAAGCTTGAGAGACAAGCATAAAAGTATTTATAGTAAGATAAAAAAAGGTTACCATGAGAGAGTTCCATGGCATAGTGGGGAGAAGCTGATTGAACAAATCAGTGGCGCCTAACTCATCCACCACCCAATTATCACTATCCACATCGATAATCGTCTTGTCAAAGTCGAAAAACACTACAATTCCAGCCATTCTTTTTTTATTACACTATCGAGGAATTAGAGACGAGAAAAGAGAGAAGACCTCTGTTTGTTGTTGTTATGGGATGTATTTGAGTTTGTGAACACCAAACATATGAAGAGGGAGCTTTATAGGGAGGGGGAAAAAAGGGAATAAGGTACAAAAAAAAATAAGATGCCAAGGGAATATTACATAAGTTAGTGGTAAGTTAACGCAAATTCCTTTAGTCACTTGGTTTTGGATATTAGCCGTTAGATTTTGATCCTACGGTCGATAAATCTTTTTACTTTATGGTATAAATAACTTTTCATCTTAGTTGGGAGGATTTATGGAAATTCGAAGGAATATGACGGAATATTCCATGCAGTTCTCCACAAAATAGAATTTGAACTAAATCCTTGTACGAATTACATGGGAGAATTAATCTAGATTATATGACGTAATATATAGAAATTGCATAACTATTTGTTTTATCGAGCTTTTTATATATTTTTTTTTATTGCTCTATTGGTTTCATATTAGTTCTCCATTTATTTCTTTCCAAGTCACTCAAAAATTATAAATAAAAAATGATAACTTTACTAATTTACACCTTAAGGAACTTTTTTTTAACTTTACAATTTTATTTTATTTTTCACTTAACTTTACAATCTATTAGACATTTAAAAAGGAATTAGTTGTAAGGTTAGATTTTTTTCAGTAGATTTCGTAAATTGACAATTATTTTAGAATCTCTATTTCTAATAAAATGTGGACAATTAATATAGAACGAAAAAAGTAATTTAATAAAGTGAAAATGAATGTTAGTTATTAATTTATAATTAAATACTAAAAAATTATGTATAAACAACAAACACATATCATCTGTCTATATATATAAACAGGCTCCAATGTCTAGTATAAATCAAATGCGGCTAATTGGTGGTTCTAGATTAGGAGATATTCGTGAATAATCCCAGTTGTTATTTTCACAATGGTAGTGGCAATTATGATAATTTTATTATTATATATATAAAAAGTAAATTTATAAATAAATTGTAGAAAAATGCAGAAAAATAAATGCAGAAATTAGAAATACACTTGAAATTGAAAGACAAAAATTAAAGAGACGTGAATTGGAAATTTTCTGATAATTGCATTGATTATTTGATGCAGTATTTATAGTTGTATTTACACAGTAAAGTAAATCAAAAATACAAAATATTTTGTACAGGTGTCCTATCTCTATTGGGTTTTGCATAACAAACTCTAACAATATTCCAACTATCCAAAGTTTGTGATCAAGGGCTGTGATTGCATCCGATCTGATGGTTGAGATGAGTTCCATCACACATTAATTTGTGCGGCTTGAGAGGACAGGTGTCCATTGCTAACAGAAGAGGGAAAAAATATTTCATCTGAATTTTGCCCTAACATTTGAAATGTTTCCCTCGTTTCTTTAGACTTCATTTTCTCAAATTCTTTGTTCTTTTGTGAGATTGACGAAACACCATTAACACCATTTTCAACACCCCCCCTCAAGTTGGAGGGCAGCGTAGAAAGACCCAACTTGGGAAGAATGGTGTGATGAGAAGGTCCAGAGAGTGCCTTAGTAAAAAGGTCGGCAAGCTGGGAGGAGGCTGGTACATAAGAGAGTGAAATGAGACCAGCAAGGAATTATTGCCTGACAAAATGGCAGTCGAGCTCCACATGCTTGGTTCTCTCATGAAAGACAGGGTTTTGGGCAATGTGAATCGCTAATTGACTATCAGAATGAACAGGAATGGGAAGCTTCGGTGGACAACCAAGATCAAGAAGAAGTCGATTGAGCCAAGTCAGCTCAGCTACAACCCGTCGCATAGAACGATATTCAGCTTTCGCTGAAGACAGAGAGACGGAGAGTTGTTTCTTAGACTTCCATGAAATGGGAGAGCCTCTAAGAGTTACAAAATAACCACTAACAGATCTGCGAGTGTCCAAGCAAGAACCCCAATCTGCATCGCAATAAGCAACTAATTGTAGAGAAGAATCTCCCGATATGAGTAGACCTTGAGCAGGATTAATCTTCAAATAGCGAAGTACTCGAAGGGCTGCATTGAAATGAGGAGTACGAGGCTCTTGCATAAACTGGGATAGATGCTGGACCGCAAAACATATATCAGGCCGGCTATGAGTCAGGTAATTTAACTTACCTATTAACCTTCTGTATGAAGACAACTTGACTGTAGGATCAAGTGGTGAAGAAATGACTGGAAGATGAGAACAGTCATATTCAGAGAGAAGTTCCATAGTATACTTCTGCTGAGTTATAATCAGTCCATGTGGTTCTCTGAGAATCTCAAGCCCAAGGAAATAATGTAAGTCTCCAAGATCCTTTATCTTAAACTCATTATCGAGGAAAGACTTAAGCTGGTCAAGTTCATTGGAATTGTTTCTTGTCAAAATGATATCATCTACATATACTGCAACTATTGAGATAAAAGGACCATCCTTCTTAACAAACAAGGAATAATCATTTAGTGAAGATGAAAAACCTTTATAGTTCAGGGCTGAAGTGAGCTTAGCATACCACGGACGTGAGGTTTGCCTCAGGCCATATAAAGACTTATTAAGTTTGCACATATGATGAGGACTAGGACCAGTCATACCATGAGGAAACCTTATGAATACTTCTTCTTGTAAATCACCATGCAAAAATGCATTATTGACATCCAATTGAGAAATATGCCAACCTTTCTTCATAGCAATGGTTAAAATGCACCTAATGGTGGTCATTTTAACCGCAGGAGAGAAAGTCTCATGAAAATCTACCCCTTCTCTCTGAATATCACCTCTTACAACTAAACGTGCCTTCAACCTTTCCAAAGACCCATCTGACCTTTGCTTAATTTTGTAGACCCACTTACAAGGTAGGGCCTTCTTATCCTTAGGTAAAACAACTACTTCCCAAGTCTTATTAGCCTCTAAGGCTGCAAATTCAGATGCCATTGCCTGCTGCCAGCCAGGGTGCATTGCAGCCTGTGCAAAATTGGTAGGTTCAGTAATATTCAAAGTATTGTTAAGGGTTTGCTGATTAGTTAGAGAAAGGGCTGCAAAAGGGTATATAGGAGGTTCAATTGGAGAGGTAAAACATGACTAAGTGAGATCAGTGAGATATATTTCATTACAAATGTAGTCTGATAGATATCCAGGCTGCTTATGAGGCCTAGTGGACTGCCTGATAGGTGTTACAGTAGGAGGAACACAAGGCATGATGGAATGATGAGAAATAGAAGAGGGAGATGATGATAAAAAATAAGAGTCATCAGGAGGCTGACTTGATTGTACTGGTGAAGATTGACTAGGAAGGATGGACTCTGTAGATGAGGGGAAATGTTGATCAGAAGCTGTAAAGATAGGATAAGTGGAAGGAATAGAAGTAGTCCTGAAGGGAAAAATATACTTTAATGAATTTAACATCCCTTGAAACAATGATCTTCTTTGTTTCTAGGATCAGGAGTTTATATCCTTTTTGTCCAGGTGGATAACCCAAAAAGGCACAAGCCAAAGCTCTTTGCTGAAACTTGGTTCTAGATTGAGATAAAGTTGAAGCATAACAAAGGCAACCAAAGCTTCTGAGGTGTGTATAAGTAGTTGGCTGACTATAGAGTATTTCATAAGAAGTGACACCATTTAGGACTCTTGAGGGAAATCTATTGATAAGGAAGGTAGCTGTTAAAACACACTCTCCTCAATAAGATATAGGAAAATCTGACTGAAAGAGTAATGATCTGGAAGTTTCCAAGAGATGCCTATGTTTTCCCTCCACCACCCCATTTTGTTGTGGTGTAGCTACGCAAGAGGTTTGATGAATAATTCCCTTGGAATTGAAGAATTCAGAAGTGGTGATGCTTTTTCCTAATTCTGAAGCATTATCAGTCCTTATGATTTTGACTTTACAGTCAAACTGTCTTTCAACCATAGCTAAAAAATACTTGAGCATAAAGAAAGCATTGGCCTTAGTTTTGAGTAAATAAGTCCATGTAGCTCTACTGAAGTCATCAACAATAGTTAGGAAATACTTAAAACCATTGTAAGTAGGTGATTTGTAAGGTCCCCATGTGTCAACATGAATGAGTTCAAAAATGGAATTAGATTTGATTTCACTTATAGGGAAAGAAAGTTTAGATTGTCTAGCAAGAGGACAAATATCACAATGGCAATTAGGTATAGAATTGAAAGCAAAAGATCTGATATATTTCATTGCAGATAAGGGCAAATGCCCTAATCTGTGGTGCCAGAGTTTTACATCAGAATCCTTTTGGATTACTATAGAATTTGAAAAAGAAACTAAACTAGGAGTCTGAGCAGACAAGGCTCTATTCTGGACTCTTTTCTTGGAAAGCTGACTGGAAAATTGAAGTTGATATAGACCTTCTTTGACATCACCAAGAGCCAGAGGCCTCTTCATGGAAGGGCCCTGCAAGAAACAGTTAGTGGAAGAAAAGATGATGAGACATTGAAGTTGAACACAAAGTTTGTGAATAGACAAAATATTAATCCTAAAGGAAGGTATATAAAGAACTTTATGAACAATTAGGTCTGGAAATAAAGCAACACTTCCTATGTGAGTGGCTTGTACTTTAGTAGAATCAGGCAAATTCACATAAACAGAGGAAGGGAGAGGTTTAAGATTGATAAACAAGCTTGAATCAGAAGAAAGATGTTCTGATGCCCCTGAATCTAAAATCCAGTGAGTTGATCTAATAGAAATAGGATAAGAAACAGAGAAATTTTTACCAGGAGAATTGGCATGAACATCTGAAGGTGCAGTCTCAGTTTGACTGATATTAACCTGGTGAAGTAACTGTAGAAGCTGAGAGAATTGATCCTTGGTTAGCTGGTTTGTACCTGTGTTGGCCTCCAATGTAGACTCACCAACCTCCTCTTGAATCCCAAAAACTCCATTGCTTCTTACATTACCTTGCACCCTCTTAGATCTGGTAAATTTGAAGTCTGGTGGAAACCCAATAATTCTATAGCATTTATCCACTGTATGTCCAGTTTTCTTACAGTGAGAACAGACCAAGTTAGACTTCTTACCCTTGTAATCATTGATTCCATTTGCATGGGTAGTAGGAGCCAGGTAGGAAGTAGAACTTCCTGAAAAATG